AGAGAATGTCATGGGCGGCTTTCCAGCCATGCCCCATGACTCCTTGGACGCACCTCATGGCGTCCTGGCAAGCCTCCCAACGCCCAGCGCCATGGTCAGCCCCGTGGTCTCGGCAGCGCCAAGTGACAAGCGCGCATGTGCCTCTGTCGCCCCACCGATAGCCCACGCCAGCGACCAGCGGCTTGCAGATACCAACAGTGCCGTGCACACAGACAATGCCAGGCGCACAGTTCATGATGATGCCAACACCGCCGCGTGCGCAAATCCTGATGCCTTGCCAAGGGCCAGCCGCAAGCAGACTCCAAATAGTGTCGTGCGCACCAATAGCACCGCGCGCACAGACCCTGATGCGAAAGACAAAGTTGTTGCCAACGGACCTGTCTCTAATTTGTAGAAAACTAAGTCCTTTTCATTGTAAATATGGAGTAGTTTTATTTCATTTACATCCATTATGTTTCTCTAGCTTATCTGGGTTAAGTCTTGTAACTTTGGTTTATTTTTTTTAAGCACTATTAGGGAGGATCAAGCTATCAAACTTTCTAGCTAGCAAATAATTCTCTGTACTGGTGTCTCTCCCCCTCGACACCGTGTTGCTTTTCTGTAATAGCTTTCATTAATGCAATCAAGCTTTCTTTCATTCTCAATTCTCATTTATGTTCTCTCAATTGCTCTTGACATTGGTTTTCCCGTACGGCACTAATAATCTAGTCTAGCGTACGGAGGGGGCCTCAGTTGGCGGACAGTAACTGCATTGACATCAGTTGCTTAGCCTTACGTCGCCCTTCCAAGGAATCTCAGGAAGGCGCCGCGTAACAATATATATGCTCAGCTCGACCATGCATACCTCTGTTCACGTACTAGAACTGCATAAGACATTAATTATTTAATTCATATAATATTAGACCGTGTCTTCATACTACTCAAAAAGAAAAGAAAAAAAGTAACTACAATACAAGGGTCCGGGTAAGAGCTAGCCCACTTGGTGAGCTCCATGTTTCCATAGTTGAGGAGAAGGGTTCAAACTCCATCAGTGGTATAGCATCCCTTTCCCCTTTTCGGCTTCCACCCTCCCTTCCCCTGATGTAATGAATTAAAGAAGTAAAAAAAAAAAAATAATAATAATAATAATAATAATAATAATAATAATAATAATAATTTATAATAGAGCCTTATAACGACTACGTATTCATCTATTACAATCAAGGCGGAGCTAGCATGCCGGTTATAGGTTCGGTCGAATCCAGTAACTTTGGTCCATACCGTGTATTTATTTAAAAAAAATCCATTAAAAAGGTAGAATTATTAATTTTAAACCAAGTAACTTAAAAATACTAGAATCCCAAATCCCTTAGCTTCAAATTTTGGTTCCGCCTCTGATTACAATTACTTCAAAGTTATTATGTTCTCTTAATAAGATGAGCTTCTCATGAAATAAGAATGGAATAACTAGAAATTCATGGATTAATGATGTTTGGGTCAGTTCCTCCAGGAATATGTCGCATTGGCTTGTAGGCAGTTTCTTGGCTGCTATATCTGTCATAACTCATAACCTACCTTGGAATGATGTTTGGGGTCAGGTCCTTGAGGACTATATCGCATTGGCTTGGAATATACCTCAAGGGCTTTCCTTCTCTCGAAAAGGGCAAGAAAAGATTCCGTTAAGCTAACTTTCTGCTGCGGAGGCCGAGTATCTCCCAAAATGTTTGGGACTAAGACATAGTTGTTGTTGATGTTGAGGGTCCGAGCGTGTGAGCATTGCACCAGAATAAGCGTAATGATTAGATAAAGGTAGATTTTCCCCCGAGACATTGTGCTCTAAGACATAAGTCTCCACGTGCGATATATGTAGTTGATTTTTAAATAGGTTTTCACGTTCAAACAAAATGGAATCGTGCTTATGTGAGCATACAAAATTGCCTTTCTCCTGTTGTGCTAATTCCTTTAATATTAATCAATGGGGCACAAGTAATAATTCGTCCTATATGGATGCATATCATAGATTAAATAAAGGATTACAGCCAATGACTTAACCCGAATGAGCTAATCCGATCCATTTCACTGTTCGCTAGCAATTTGGATCAACGTAACCTAGGACCTCAGAAAAGTAAAATTTCCTATAGCCATTAATTCTTACTTCAATTGTATACTAACTACTAGTATGTTAAAGCTTTAAATCAGTGAGAACCTACTCATCACCTTTTCTATTTGTCCTTTCGGCAGAAGCAAGTATAAATGCGTTTGCTAATCCACATCAAACAAAACAACCTTTCTCTTGTGTTTTCTGTTTCTTCTAAATTATTTTAGTGCTAAACCACGCCTTGAACAACCGCCACTAAAAGCAATATACTTTTAGAAGTTTTTATATGTCAAAGGAAGATTCACGGATCTGATAAGTATCTGGTTGCTTGATCTTAATTAAAGGAAAAAATTCACTCTCGATACTCTTATAAAGTCACAAGAGTCTAAGTGCAAACAACATATATAAAGTATAACCCCGTTTACTGGCCAGAAATATTGTGTATTGCTCTTGTTTGGTTTCTTGTTTTGGTTTTATTAATAAGGTTAATGAAATGTCACGAATGCACTACTCATTAGCACTAGCTCTAGCTTTGAATTACAAGAGAACCGTCCAAGGAAATAAGCATACCATATATGCCTTATGACAACTTGAGATCTCATACACCGTGGAAATATTGTCGTCTCTAGTACTTCTGCTTTTAGAAAATGTAGTATTGGTTTTTTATTTGTTTGGAATAGTCAACACCACAACAAAGATAATATCATATGGAAATGTCACAACTCACAATCAACCTGAAGTCAATGAAGAAGCCTCTTTTCGACTTAAGCCAGTACTTCATCTGTCTTATATTATCAATCGTTCAAGACAAAGTTTTTTTTTTTTTTTCACCCTTAGTAATAATTATCCTTGAAAACTATAAGCACCTCAATTATGGATTACTTTATTCAAATATCAATGAACAAATATTAAATATTAAGACATGAATAAGGGTAAAGTAGTCAAAATTTCATCCTAATTAAATTTTCTTAAGGGCATGTAGAGATAATTATGACAGATAATATGAGACAGGGGGAGTAATTCTCTATTAATCTTACTCCCTCCATTTCTTCTTAAGTGATTTTTTAGCTTTTTAAATTTGATCCAAAATAAGTGATATTTCTAAGAAATCAAGAAAGTATTATCAATCCTTTTTTCCAAATTTACTCTAATCTAATACTCCCTCTGTCTCAAATTATTTATCATGATTCTCTTGTACACGTCCCTTAAGAAAAATTAATTAGGATATAATTTGTCCACTTTACCCTTATTTATGTTTTAATGTTTAATCTTTTTTCATTGGTATTTGAACAAAGTAATCCATAATTGAGGTGTTTGTAATTTTCAAAGATAATTATTACTAAGGGTAAAAAAGGGCAAAAATAATTATTTTTGTCTTGAATTTCTAAAATAACAAAAATTTGAGACAATTATTTTTAATAATATAAGACGAGGGAATAAGTGATCAACAAATTTTTAAAAGGAGGTAATAAGCTGCAATACCATTATGCCTCGAAAGATTAGGGTACTTTATTGGTCAGCCGCCTTTCTTCTCTTGTGCGATTTCCAATTAAACCATTTCATAACTCCTTTTCAATTGAGGATATACATCTTAATTTTGTCTTGCTCCAGTTCAACTTCAACTTCAACTCCAACTCCAACATTGAGTGCATTACTTCTGTTAGTCAAAAAACATCATTTGGGGAAGTAATCAACAAAAAACATCACTGTCCAAATAGGCAACAAATGCATTTCTTGCTGCCAGCCGTTTAATTCCGAACATTAATTGAGAGAGGGCAAACAATTGAACAGAACACTATTATTTCTCTTATCAAATGAACTATCCACTAATCTTGTGAATGCAGCTGAAGTTGACTGAATCAATCTCTCAAAGGCCTCCTATAACTTCTCTTCACATTTCTTAAGCTAGTTGGGATATTTTCCTTATTAAAATCATTGTGGCATTCAGAAATAACCAACACATCCATTTTCAGATGAAAAAGAGAGGTATTAACCAAAAATGTGAGAAAGAGAAATAGAGAATATAGCCAAGTGGGTTTTCGGCTAGTATTTATAGGTGTTGTTGGGAAAAATTGTTGGAGGGAAGTATTTGAAAATGCTTTTCTGTGTAAATTTTCAGGTAACCAATGGAGGGAGAAGTTCCTTTTTTTCGAATTTTCATGGCTGTTTTTTGGCGGAGAATTTAAAGATGCGAAACAGTAGACAACAACGTGGGACGTTTGAAATTTTATGAGTCCCGGAAAAAAAATTAGCGGGTGATTTGTTGTTTGACCAAAAGTTTCGCTTTTGGGCTGCCCAACAATTCTTTGTTGAATCAGAATTCTAGTTTCAAATTCAAAAATCAGACTAGAGATGGAGCAAGACATTCAAGGAATTCGACTTTTAAAGTACTACTATTTGTTATTAAACATATGGTACTTTTGAGATTACGAGTTCTATTGAGTATAGTTAATAGTTAATAGTTATTAACCTTTGCTTGTACTTGTACATTCTTTATTATTGTATATACTTAGCTAGTAGTTTACTTGGTAGTTGATCATTAGTTGGTCAATTGTTCAACGTATATATATACTTGTATAGTTGAGTAAGTAAAATGAAGGTTCACATTTACACAAAATATTTCCCCACTCATCTGCTCTCTCTACTTCTTCTCTCTTCCTAGAACCTTCTAGAAGACTCCATGGAAGCTCTGCAAATCTGAACTTGTTTGCTTGTTTTGTTATGGTATCAGAGCTCAGGGTGTCGGTTCAAGTTTTCCTCAACATTTCAAAATCCTATTCTGAAATTTAGTCGAGCTTCGTCGATCTCCAAATTTTCGATCGCTGTGTTCCAACCTAATTCTGAAATTCGTCTCAAAATTGACGATCTCTGGTTCGATTAAGGACTTTACATTTCACGATTTCATCGATTTGAAACCTTACACATGGCTATCAATCAAGGTGAAGAAACGAGTCCTAGCACGAGCAGAAACGACCAATCCGTCATCGATACTAGTAATCCCCTTTACATTCACCCTTCTGATAGTCCCGGAATGACTCTAGTACCAATTCCGTTTGACGGAATTGGATATCGCTCATGGAGAAGGAGCGTGTTGCGAGCTCTGTCAGTCAAGAATAAATTAGATTTTATAAATGGGGAATTTGTAAGACCTAGCTCCGATTCACCTCAATTCCGCCAATGGGAGAGGTATGACGACATAGTAACCTCGTGGATCCTCAATTCCCTCGCTAAGGAGATTTCTGATAGTGTGGAATATGTAAGCAAATCAGCTGAGTTGTGGAGGGAGTTAGAGGATCGTTATGACCAAACAAATGGAGCGAAACTGTATCAGATTCAGAAAGAAATCAACGATCTTACACAGGGTTCCTTAGGCATTACTGCATACTATACGCGTATGAAGAGACTATGGGATGAACTGAGCACCTTGAGTGCTAAGTCTCAGTGCAGTTGCAATTGCACATGTGGAGCAAAAGAGACCATGCACAAGGCAGAACAAGATCGAAGACTTATTCAGTTTCTGATGGGATTAAACGAAGTCTACACAATAGTACGAGGGAGTATCCTCATGATGAAGCCTTTGCCTTCTATGGCTCAAGCCTTCTCTCTCTTGGTACAAAAAGAAAAACAAAGGGAATTCAAGCCCAATAGTCAGCAGAATCTAGACTCTACTTCATTGCATGTGAATGCAAATCCACAGCATCAAAGTTCATTTGGAGCCAGAAACTTCAGGACAAATTACACAACAAACAATGGTAACAAAGGTCGACCATTCTGTGATTACTGTAAGAAATCAGGACATACAAAAGAAAAGTGCTATAAGTTACATGGATACCCCCAAAGTAACTCTTACAATAATCAGAACTTCAATCGTGCCAATGCACGGTCATATAACCAGGGGAACAACCAGACTTAAAAATTCAATAAGGGAAAAGGATCTGTGGCAAATGTGCATGGGATTCCAGCTGATATGGTTCATGAGAATGGGGGTAGCCAAGATCTGCAGGATGAGAATCAGAGTGTTGACCTGACTAAAGAGCAATATGGGCAAATAATGACCCTGCTGCAGCATTTTCAAGTAGGAAATGTGGGAGGATCTCTCAGCAACAACAACATCACTACTGGCAGTGCAAACTTTGCAGGTATTGTTGTCTGCACTTCTTTTATTGACTTTGACAAGCCCTCATGCAAATGCTTTGAATCAAAGACTGACCTTTGAATCATAGACTCAGGAGCATCTAACCATATGACCTTTAACAAACATGCACTCACTAACATTACTAGATTGCCTTACCCTTTATGAACAAGTCTACCAAATGGTTATAGGGTGAAAGTTCTTGAATTTGGAGATGTGGTACTGTCTTCAGATATTGTCCTGTATAGGGTCCTTTATGTTCCATCCTTCAAATATAACTTGATTTCAGGTCACTCCCTTGCAGTACATCTTAAAAGTCTAGTATTGTTCAGTGATACTCTTTGTCTGTTGCAGGCCCCTTCAGTGAAGAGGCCTCAGGTGATTGGTAACAGCAAAGAGGGTCTGTATTATCTCTGTTCCAGGTGCCTGAAGGGTAAAAGGACCACCTTACCTTCTACTGTTTCAATTTCCCATTGCAATTGCATTCCTTCTTCCAATGTAAATAGTCATGAGTCCATTAGTCACACTCATTCTCATAACACTCCTCAATCTGTAGATATTTCCATTTCAAATAATAAGAATGAGTCTTCATGTGTGCTTGATAAACATGATGTGAATTTTCTGTGGCATAATAGGCTTGGTCATGTTCCTTTTGTTAAAATGAAGGGTATATCATCAATCCCTACTAAATTTGCACCAAGACAACCTTTCATTTGCCCTATATTATGGCAAGACAGACTAGACTTCCATTCCCTCAAAGAACCACCACTACATCAAAACTATTTGAGCTGGTCTACATAGATATATGGGGACCTTACCATGTAACTACTCATGATAACTACAGATATTTTCTTACCCTTGTGGATGACTTCAGTAGGTCCACTTGGACACATCTGTTAAGCTGTAAGAGTAATGCTCTTCAGGCCATCAAAGTCTTTGTAGCTATGATTGAAAATCAATTTGATACATCTATAAAGACCATTAGATCTGACAATGGCTTAGAATTTACAAGTCATGAAGCCTCTTCCTTTTACCAGTCTAAAGGAATCATACATCAAAAAACATGTCCCTACACACCACAACAAAATGGTGTAGTAGAGAGAAAACATAAATACCTCCTTGAAACTGCCAGAGCTCTCTTGTTCCAGTCCAAACTCCCAACCAGATATTGGGGAGAGTGTATTCTGACAGCCACTTACTTGATTAATAGACTCCCAACAACCTACCTTAATAACAAATACCCCTATGAGATACTGTACCAAAAGAAGCCCAATTATACTCATTTGAGAAGCTTTGGTTGCCTTTGCTATCCTACTGTACCCAAAATATATAGAGACAAGTTTGAGCCTAGAACCAGTCCTCATATCTTTGTTGGATTCCCCTTTGAAACAAAAGGATACAAGGTGCTACGCCTAACTATCAAGAAAATTTACATTTCTAGAGATGCCATCTTCCATGAGAGTATTTTTAATTTCTCATTAAATTCTACTAATATTTCCTTCCCTGCAGTCCTCAGAACAGTCTCATTCCCTAACTATTCTGAAGATAACAACAATCCAGTTTCTCCTACTGATATTGTTCAAGGTCCTGAAAGTATCACATCTCCAGGGATAGAACATCACTCTGAATCATTTACCAATGATACACCCTCTTCTAATAGTGACAATTCACAGAGTCCATTTCCACATTAACAGTTAGAAGCACCAATTCTAAGAAAATCCAACAGAACTCATCAAACTCCTACCTACTTAAAGGACTATGTTTATCAATTGCCTAAGAGTGTCACTCAGTTGTCTAATGTATCTCACTGCACCCCTTCACTAAATGCTTGTTTTCTAATCACCATCATATCACTCCTGATGCTCTATTTTCTGAAAGTCAGCACTTGATGCTAAGTGTCTGTCATGATGGTGAGCCATCCTCATATGAAGAGGCAGCCCTCAATCCTGCTTGTCAACTAGCCATGACACAGGAGTTTGAGGCTCTCCATGCTAATAACACTTGGGACCTAGTTCCCTTACCACATGGAAAGCAAGCAATAGGCTGCAGGTGGGTGTATAAGATCAAGCATAAAGCAGATGAAAGTATTGAAAGGTTTAAAGCTAGGTTAGTAGTAAAGGGCTACACTCAACAGGCTGGGATTGACTATACTGAAACTTTCTCCCCTATTGTGAAAATAACAACTGTCAGAGTCCTAATCACAGTGGCTGTTAAGAAAGGCTGGGACATATTCCAATTAGATGTAAATAATGCTTTCCTCCATGGAGACCTACATGAGGAGGTATACATGGAGGCTCCACCTGGACTTGTGGTTGATCAATCTAGTTCAAGTAAAGTAGTATGCAGATTAAACAAGTCATTGTATGGACTAAAGCAAGCCAGTAGGCAATGATATGCAAAGTTGACTGAAGCATTGTCTTCAAAGGGGTATCAACATTCTGAAAATGACCACTCCCTATTCTGCAAGAAAACTTCCACATCCATCATTTTTGTGGCTGTGTATGTTGATGATGTTATCATCACTGGAACTGACTGAGAAGAGATTGCATGCTTGAAGGTTTTCCTTGATCAGAGGTTCAGAATAAAGTATTTGGGGAGGCTACATTATTTCTTGGGCTTAGAGGTCCTCTACAAACATGGTGGAGTTTTTGTATCTCAAAGGAAGTTTACATTGGATCTGCTGAAAGAGTATCAGTGTTTTGATTATAGTAATGTCTCCTCACCTCTTGATCCCACTGTCAAGCTGAAGGCACAAGAGGGCAACCTCCTACCAGATCCCACATACTATACAAAACTAGTAGGCAAACTCAATTTTCTCACCAATACGAGACTGGACATAGCCTATAGTGTGCAGCTCCTAAGTCAGTTCATGCAAGCTCCAAGGGACACTCACCTGACTGCAGCATTCCACCTCCTTAGGTATCTCAAAAATGACCCTAGCCTGGGTATATTCTTCTCCAACAGTCCTGATTGTTCAATCAAAGCCTATTGTGATTCAGACTGGGCTGCCTGCCCAGATTCTAGAATATCTGTCACTGGGTACATTGTTCTAGTAGGAGACAGTCCAATTAGCTGGAAATCTAAGAAGCAAGAAACTGTCTCATTGTCCTCAGCTGAAGCAGAGTACATGTCCCTCAGAAAAGTTAGTGTGGTTGAGCAGGCTATTTGCAGAACTTACTCTTGCCCAATTAGAACCAATTCAGGTGTTTTGTGACAGCCAGTCTACTATACACATTGCCCACAATCCAGTATTCCACGAAAGAACAAAGCACATTGAGGTCGACTGTCATTTTGTGAGGAACAAGCTACAAGAAGGTCTCATTTCTCTTCATCATGTGAGCACTCACAATCAACTGGCTAATATCCTCACCAAGGCCCTCACAGGGGTCAAACATTCAGCTGTCCTAGGCAAGTTAGCTGTGAAGGCCTCACCTCCAACTTGAGGGGGGGTATTGAGTATAGTTAATAGTTAATAGTTATTAACCGTTGCTTGTACTTGTACATTCTTTATTATTGTATATACTTAGCTAGTAGTTTACTTGGTAGTTGATCATTAGTTGGTCAATTGGTCAATGTATATATGTACTTGTATAGTTGAGTAAGTAAAATGAAGGTTCACATTTACACAAAATATTTCCCCACTCGTTTGCTCTCTCTACTTCTCTCTTCCTAGAACCTTCCAGAAGACTCCATGGAAGCTCTGCAAATCTGAGCTTGTTTGCTTGTTTTGTTAAGTTCAAAATATAATATTATTCTATTTGTCAAAAATTTTACTCCCTTCGTTTCAATTTTAGGTGACACTTTTCGCTTATCGAAAGTCAATTTAACTAATATTTAAAGTTAAAATAAATTACATTAACTCAATATTTTAAAATTAAGATTTAAATATTTAAAAATTATGTAAAAGTACTAAATTTGTCATTCTTCTCATGTTAAAAAATTACACTTTTAACTGTTGGTCAAAGTTCACGTAATTAAAATTTCGAAAAACTAAAAAATGCCGCATAAATTGGGACAAAGAGCATAGTGAATACTGATACTAATAATTTTAAAATATTATTAGAAACTATTGCACATAAGCTCCATCCGCTTTTGGCTAGAGTCGCACCATGATTAAGAACAACGCTTGACGGAGCAATTAGTACCCCTCAAACTAGTTCTAAAACCCCAATTAGTCGAAAAAGTAAATATAAAATTTATATAATTTTTGTATATAACATACAAAATGTATATATATACAAAAATATACAATTTTATACATTTTTTCTACTATTATTTTTCAAGTATACAATATCATTTTTCCTTAAAACAAGCCAATTCCATAAGTTAGACTCATAGAAAATCATATTAATTGTTGGCAATTTATTCTGTAGCTGCAGTTCATTTTATAAGAAAATAAATTTAGAGAGAGCAGAATATATTCTTCAATCAAATCAATTCCAATAATATTATGCAATTACAAATTTCTCATTCTCCGAGATTCCCATTAGCTTTATTTTGCACAAATAGAAATGCTTTTCTGTTTTTCTCCGTAATTTTGTACTATAAGACATAGTACAGTAACAATTGTATGTATGAAAATAAAATTGGACTATCTGAAATCTCTTCTTAGTATTTTCGAGTTATATTTCTGCACTGAATCAATATTCTCATCAGCAGCTTTTCGCTTTCCACAAACAATTACTTTATTAGAAATAGAAACAGATCGCTGAAATCTTCTAAATGCAATTGAGCTGGGCTGAACTGGTGAATTGAAGAGGTGAGTAATATCTGTCAAAGGC